GTGTGGCAATTCCTAAAAGCTCTAAATACCAACCTCCCATATGACCCTGCAATCCCCCTACTGGGAATATATCCTGAAGAACACAAATCACTCTATAAAAAAGATACCTGCACACGCATGTTTATCGCAGCGTTGTTCACAATAGCAAGAACCTGGAAACAGCCATGCTGCCCGTCAAAAGAGGACTGGACTAAAAAAATGTGGTACATATACACGATGGAATACTATGCAGCCATAAAAAAACAAAATCATGAATTTCACAGCAACCTGGATGGAACTAGAGTCTATAATACTGAGTGACCTCTCACAGAAACAAAGAACCGAATATCACATGTTCTCACTCATATAATGGACCTTAAACATCCAATGCAATACTATACAAAAATGACTGACTGTCATTGGGGGGAGGGAGATGGGATTAACAGTAGCAAATATCTGTCTGGGAACGGGGAAACACCCCATATCAACAGGGTGCCTGAATGAAACACAATTGTATACCTAACCCTTAACTGTACCCCACAACTTCATAATAAAAAAAATAAAAAAGAAAAAAAGAAAATTACAAAACATTGCTGAAAGAAATTAAAGACACATAAATTAAAGAGATCTATGTTTCTGGATTGAAGACATAATATTGTTTAGATGCCAATACTACTCAAAACTATCAACATATTCAGTGCAAGCCCTATCAAAAACCCAATGACAATTTTTGCAAAAATAGAAAAATTTATTCTAAAACTTGTGTGGAATTTCAGGGTACTCTGAATAACCAAAACAATGTTGGAAAAGAACAAAGGTGAAAGACATATACTTCCTGATTTCAGAACATACCACAAGACTACAGTCAAAACAGTATGGTACCAGCATAAAATAGACATATAGAACAATGGAAACTAAGGGAAAGCCCAGAAGTAAACCCTTGCGTATATAATCAAATGATTTTCAACAAGGATGTCAAGGCCCTTCAATGGGGGAAAAGACAGTCTTCAACAAATTGTGCTGGGAAAACTGGATATCCACATACAAAAGAATGAAGCAATTTTGTACCCCATGTACAAAAAAAATTTTCTCAAAGTGGATTAAAGACCAAAATTTAAGACATAAAGCTATAGAGGAAAAACTTCTTGACATTTGATTTGGCAATGATTTTTTTTAGATATGGCACCAAAAGCACAGGCAACAAAAGAAAAAAATAGAGAAATTTAACTTCATCTAAATAAGAATTTTGTGCATCAAAGGACACCATAAGCAGAGTGAAAAGGCAACCCACAGAATAGGAGAAAATGTTGATACATCATATATCTGACAAGAGATTAATATCCAGAATATATAAAGAAGAATTACAGCCTAACAAGAAAAAAAATTCAAAAATAGGCAAAGGACTTGAATAGATAATTCTTTTAAAAAGATTCACAAATGGTCAATAAGGAAATGAAAGGATGCTCACTATCTCTAATCATTAGGGAAATGCAAATCAAAACCACAAGGTACCACTTCATACCCATTAGAATGTCAGTTATATTTTTAAAAGATAACGATAAGTGCTGTTGAGGATATGGGGAAATGAAAATCCTTGTGCACTGTTGGTGGAAATGTAAAATGGTATAGTCACAATGGAAAACGGTATGGCAGTTCCTCAAAAAGTTAAACAGGATTACCCGGTAATTGCACTTCTGGCATATACCCAAAAGAAGTGAAAGCAGAAACTTAGTTATCTTTTACAGCAACATGCAGCATTGTTCACAATAAGAGATAGTTGGAAACAACCCAAATGTCCATCAACAGATGGAAGGATAAACAACATGTGGTGTATACATAGAATGGAATATTATTCAGCCTTAAAAAGGAAGGAAACTCTGATATATGCTATAACATAGATGAACCTTGAAGACTTTATACTAAGTGAAATAAGCCAGTTACAAAAGGAGAAATGTTGTATGATTCCACTTATATGAGATACCAAGAATAGTCAAATTCATAGAGATACAAGTAGAATGGTGGTTGCCAGAGGCAGGGAGGTGGAAGACATGGGAAGTTACTGCTTAATGGGTACCTAGTTTTAATTTGGGAAGATGAAAAAATTCTAGAGATGAATGACAATGTTTGCACAATAATGCCACTGAACTGTACACTTAAAATTATTAAACTGAGAAACTGTATGATATGTATATTTTACTATAATAAAAATAGAAACAAACAAAACAAAAAGGAAGGAGCAGCAGATAAACCTGGTTGTGACATCAATCTCAGGTAAAATGCGTGCCTAACTCAGTAGACCCTGGAATATGACCAAGGCTTTGACACTTCTGTGGTTCTGGCCCCCAGGAGTGAAGCAACACTAAAAATGTGGCATATTTGATAAGTAAAACACTTGGGATAAAGCAGGGGCAAAAAATAAAATCCCTGAAAAAATGTGTTCTAGCCAAAAAAAGGAATAGTTCTGTCAGCACTGACATACAGTTCAATATGTATTTGGCGGGGGGGGGGAGTTTCCAAACAATATGTATAATGTTATCCTATGTTGTAAAAGAAAAAATATGTGTGTGAATTAATTATTAGGTTAACACAAAAGTAATTGGCGGTCTCAGACTGTGAATTTTAAATTATTATAACTAGGTTCAAGTATATCTTTATTAACCAAAATAAGAACCATTACAATCAATACATTTTTACTTATGAGACACAAGTTTGTTTATTCCCGTGGTGTAAAACAGGATTAGGATTAAATGAACTCTTGGAACGCATTTTCTGCATCCTGCTGGTTGTGGAAGTGTTTTGCCTGCAAAAAGTTGTCAAGATGCTTGATGAAGTAGTAGACAGTTGTCAAGAGGTCAGTTGAATATGGTGGCTGAGGCAAAACTTCGTAGCCCAATTCATTCAGCTTTTGAAGCATTGGTTGTGCGATGTATGGTCGGACGTTGTCACAGAGAAGAATTAGGCCCTATCTGTTGTCCAATGCCGGCTGCAGGCATTGCAGTTTTTGGTGTATCTCATCAATTTGCTGAGCATACTTATCAGATGTAATGGTTTCTCTGGGATTCAGAAAGCTGTAGTGGATCAGACCGGCAGCAGACCACCAAACAGTGACCATGACCTTTTTTTTTTCCCTACAATTTTGGCTTTGAAAAATGCTTTGGAACTTCTTCTCCATTCAGCCACTGAGCTGGTCATTGCTGGTTGTTGTATAAAATCCACTTTTGGTCACATGTCACGATCCAATCAAGAAATGGTTCATTGTTGTTACATACAATAAGAGAAGGTGACACTTCAAAAGGACATTTAAAAAAAAAAATTTTGGGTCGGCTCATGAGGCACTCACTTACTGAGCTTTTTCAGCTTTCCAATTTGCTTCAAATGCTGAATGAGTGGTCAACGTTGAGTTAGTTCTTCAGCAACTTCTCATGTCATTTTTAAGAGGATCAGCTTAGATGATTGCTCTCAATTGGTCATTGTCAACTTCCTATGGCCGACCACTATGCTCCTCATCTTAAAGGCTCTCATCCTCTTTGCAAAACTTCTTGAACCACCATGCACTGTACATTCATTGACAGTTCCTGAGCCAAATCTGTTGTTAATGTTGCAGTTCTCTCCGCTGCTTTACTACCCATTTTGAACTCGAATAAGAAAATCGCTCAAATTTGCTTTTTGTTTAACATCATTCCCATAGTCTAAAATAGATATAAAATAAGCAGCAAGTAATAAGTCATTAGCAAAAAAAAACCATAAAGTGAGAAATGCACATTCAAATTATATATAACATAATCATATTTATTAAGAATATATTCCAGCTGGGCTCGGTGGCTCAGCCTGTAATCCCGTGTCTTTGGGAGACTGAGGTGAGTGGATTGCCTGAGCCCGCAGGTTCAAGACCCACCTGGGCA